AGCTGGTCGACGGGGTTGGTCGACTTGCACGGGGCCAGTGTGATGCCGCCGACTTGGTGGTCGGCGATGTGGCACGTCGACCCGGAAGTCGGCGCCGACTTGCAAGGTCACCGACTTGCAAGGTCACCAACTTGGGAGGTTGTCGACTTGGGAGGTCGACGAGCATATACAGGAGCAGCTGGTCGCCATGGTTGCCTGGTCGATCGGGATACCTGGGTGACGAGGTTCTCCGAAGGAGTGCGACTGTCGCCCAGGCGAAGTTGGCGAGTCCGACCTCGGTGGTGGTATCCTGAGGTCGACGTGGCGGATCAGGTGGAGCTGTCAGCACGAGGATGACTTGGTGCGTGCGCTGTTCAGGTGACGAGGCTTAGCCTGCCAATCATGTATGAGCACCTGCGAAGTAGGTGCGCTGCTGTTCTGCGAGAGCAATGCTGGCACGCCGTCAACCTGCTGCGTTGGCACGCCGTCGACTTAGCACTGCTGGAGCGTGGTCGACCAAGTTGTGCTGTAACGCGGTCGACCATGCTGTACTGGCAGTCGACCAACCTGAATGCTAGCTCTGATGTAGTCTTGCCATGCCAACTGATTTGGACCATTATTGTCAACTTTTCCTAGTGAAACTCTTGCCAGATTGCCCCGTGAACTAGCAAGTAGTGTGAGCACTAGGAAAACGACTAAGGACCAGGGAACGCAGAGATCACACGAGCACCCGTGCCTAGCCCATAGTCTAGCTCCCGTTGAAGCAGTCATCTCCGCAAGAACAAGGGCCTAGCATGTGCAAAATTTCAAGAACCTGAATTGGGTTGCATATTCGAGTGGCCCATGTTAAAATTCACTTACTAGAGCCTTTTTGGCCTGGTCTTTGCGGAAAGAAAAGTTCGGCGCCTACGATTTCGGCCATTAGTGCTGCCAAGTGCGTAGAAAGCGCGTGAATCTCTCTAGGGGTAGGGAAAAGCACCCAACAACCTAAATTTTATTGCATATTCGAGTGGCCCATGTTCAAATTCACCTACTAGAGCCTTTTTGGCTTGATTCTTGCGCAAAGAAAAGTTCGGCGTCTACGATTTCGGCCGTTTTTGCCGCCAAGAGACTAGAATGCGCGTGAGTCCTTATAGGCGCAGGGAAAAGCACTCAACAACCTGAATTGTGTTGCATATCCGAGTGGTCCATGTTCGAATACACCTACTAGAGCCTTTTCGGCCTAGTTCTTGCGGAAAGAAAAGTTTGACGCCTACGATTTCGGCTGTTAGTGCCGCCAAGAGTCTAGAAAGTGCGTGAATCCTTATAGGCGTAGGCAAAAGCACTCAACAACCTGAATTTTATTGCATATTCGAGTGGCCCATCAAATACACCTACTAGAGCCTTTTCGGCATGTTTCTTGCGCGAAGAAAAGTTCGGCGCCTACGATTTCGGCCGTTTTTGCCGCCAAGTGCCTAAAAAGCACGTGAATCTTAATAGGCATAGGGAAAAGCACTCAACAACCTGAATTTTATTGCCTATTCGAGTGGCCCGTGTTCAAATTCACTTACTAGAGCCTTTTCAGTCTGGTTCTTGCGCGAAGAAAAGTTCGGCGCCTCCGATTTCGGCCGTTTTTGCCGCCAAGTGCCTAGAAAGCGCGTGAATCCCTAAAGGCGAAGGGAAAAGCACTCAACAGTCTGATTTTTTTTGCATATTCGAGTGGCCCATGTTCAAATACACCTACTAGAGCCTTTTCGGCCTAGTTCTTGCGCGAAGAAAAGTTCGGCGCCTTCGATTTCGGCCGTTTTTGCCACCAAGTGCCTAGAAAGTGCGTGAATCCCTATAGGCGTAGGGAAAAGCACTCAACAACCTGAATTTTATTGCATATTCGAGTGGCCCATGTTCAAATACACCTACTAGAGCCTTTTCGGCCTGGCTTGATTCGCAAGTTTCTATACCGGTGTAATTCGATCCCGTTTTCGCAGCGATCCGGGCCATGTTCCCCCCGGAATGCGAGCAAACCTACTCGGGTGTAGAAAATTGCAAAGCGGGCGGGGATTTCTTCACATTCTCGTGCTCTCTATACCCCTCCGCACCTCCAGCAACGATTCCGGCTCGAAATGCGCATAGACGCGGAATGCGTACCTCCCAGACCGGGCCCCTCGTAGGCAATCCGAGCAATGTTCCCCCCCGGAACGCGAGCAAACCTACTCGGGTATAGAAAATTACTAAGCGAGCGGGGATTTCTTCACATTCTCGTGCTCTCCATACCCCCCCGCACCTCCAGCAACAATCCCTAAATGTTTTTTTTACGCCTATTAAGGTTCATGCGCGTTCTAAGTTTTTTTCGGCAAAAACAGCCAGATTCATAGGCGATGAACTTGAGCACAAACCGAGCTGAAAATGCTCTGACACGTGTATTTGAACATGATCCACCTCGCATGTTTCCCACCTCATATATTTCCCACCTCGCATGTTTCCCACCTTGCATGTTTCCGACCTCGCATGTTTCGACCTCGCATATTTCCCACCTCCCATGGTTCCCACCTCTCATGTTTCCCACCTCTCATGTTCTCGACCTCGCATGTTCTCGATGTTCCCGACCTCACATGTTCCCTCTTCGCATGTTCTCGACCTCGCATGTTCCCGACCTCACATGTTTCACCCTACCAGGGGGCAGTTTCAATTCCATTACCATTCGCCCCACCAAGGTGCGGTTTCAGAGCCCCATTACCATTCGCCCCACCGGGGTGCGGTTTCTGCCCCAATTCCAATCGCCTAGCTAGGGGGCGGTTTCAGCCCCATTACAATTCGCTCCACCAGGGGGCTGTTTCAGCCTCATTACCATTCACCCCACTAGGGGGCAGTTTCAGCCCCATTACCATTCGCCCCACCTGGGGGCTGTTTAAGCTCCATTCTCATTCACCCCACCAAGGGGCGTTTTCAGCCCCATTACCATTCGCCCCGGTTTCAGCCCCATTACTATTCGTCCTGCCAGGTAGTAATCTCCTCCCTCCCCCTCCCTTCTTGTATCCCTTTCCATCCCCCATGTCACTTCCTGCCATTCATCCCCCATCTCTGGTCTCTAGTTGCCTAGATAATTATTGTCATTTTGAGTCATAGTTGTGTTCTCCAATGTTGTGCTGAGGAGACTGCTTGTATCGATGAATATTGATGACAAATAGGGATCGCACGATGGGAGTTAGTTCCACAAAGTTGATGTCGCGTGGGAAGAAAACCAACCCTGAACGAGGAGCTAATGACCTGGCGACCGATAAGTGGTTACAGCTGTACACGTGGAGAAGAACGGAGGAAGCACAGTCACGCGCCAGGTGGGGCCAGGGAGGGACTTCGCGCGAATTTGAGCTCCGTATGAACACTTGCGGAACCCGGAGGAATTTGGATGGTACGGTGCTGCGCCGCCATTTTATCAGCCAATCCAGTCTCGACACGGATTCTCAAGCCTCGTTGAGAGGTCCGGCGCTGGTTCCATTATGCCTGAACGGGGTGGGATGGGATGGGAGCTGTTGAATCTCTGCGCCGATTCCCGCCATGCCTTCTTCCCGTAAAGTGCCTCTCGGTATCCCTCCCCTCCCTCCCCTCACCAAGCGCGTAGGCGGGAGAGGGGAACCTCGAGAGTCGGGGCACCTATGGGAGCGCATTTTTCACCCCACTCGCCATTCCCTGTTCCTCCACATCTCCAATGCTCATGAAGAGGCCACAACTCCAACGGTCAGAAAAGCAGCACCTTGGTCTTCGATTGCCTAGGTTGCTGGTTACGCTAAGGCTAGTGTGACTTGCTCGGGACTTGGTTCGACTCGACTGTTTAATCGTCAGTGTGACAACGTCTTAGTGAGTTAGATAGTTTGTGCGAAAGAATTACGTAGCAAGCCCAGCTGCAGCTTATGCAATCGGTTTATATACATGGCCTGGAAAGCTCGCAAGACAATGCTTTTAGTAGCCTGTGTGCTTATCGTAGCCCCAGCAGCGGTCCATCCTGCTTATTCCCATGATTATAATTCCTGGCCGACGAAGCCGAAAAATCGAGACAGAAGCAATGAGGATAGCCAACCTCCGAATACTATTTCAAATAGTCAGCATCACAATGCCAGAGCACCAATGACAGCCGCTTATCGACAGAAGGCTTTCGATGACGATGTAGACAGCAGTGCTGGTACTCGAAGGACAGACACTAGGAACAATGAGCGTCGTCGTTCCGAAGCTCCTCTCTCTAAGGTTCTTCTTTCCGAAGGACCTCAGAGCAACGGTCGGGATAATTGGCCACCCAGCGATCTGTTCAACGGCGATGCGGAACCCGTGACATATCAGCCGTTGATCGGCGTACTCTCGCAGCCCGGAATTGCGGACAGCGGCGAGATTGCACGCGTGTTCAACGCGACGGAAGAGAACCAATTCGCCAACTTGTCTTATATCGCAGCGTCTTATGTGAAATTCATTGAGGCCGGAGGCGCTAGAGTCGTGCCAATTATTTACAACGAGCCGCGCCGCCAGATTTTGAAGAAGCTCCGGCTGGTGAACGGGCTGGTGCTGCCGGGAGGTGACGCGAATAAGCGAGGAAGGTTCCTTCGGACCGTGCGGCGGTTGCTGAAGGTGGGCCTGGGAAAGCGGTGAGCTGGAGGCAAGGATGAATGGGATGCGATGGGATGGAACGGGAAGGGATGGGATGCGATGGTGTGAGATTGGGATGGGCGGGGACGGCGTAGAGTTGGATGGGATCGGGTTGCATTGCAGGTTCTGGGATGGCGTCTTCCCATTACAACGTCTTTTACATCTATCTCCCTTTTTGGAGGAGAATTTTGGTGAATGCACCACGCCTGGCAAAGTGTTTCTTTTCTGAGGGTTGATTGAATCCGAGGGGGCCAATATCCGTCCTGCCGCCGTGTGTGTCTACGTTTGTGTGTGTGCCTGTGTGTGTGCATGTGTGTGTGCCTGTGCGTGTGCATGTGTGTGTGCCTGTGCGTGCGCATGAGTGTGTGCCTGTGCGTGTCAACACGTAAACTCGTGCCTCCCCGCAGATGGCCATGTCATTTAACGACAATGGCGACTACTTCCCTATTTATGCCGAGTGCCTCAGCTTCGAAATGCTCACCATCATCCTCAGCACGGTGAGTGGTCCTGGTGATTACCCTGTGTACAGTGGGTGATACGATTCAGTACCCTCATTGCACTTGGCGGTGCGAGTTTGTGTCCTCATTCACTGGCCAATTTACGTGCTACTACTTCTACCCGCCGACACTTTCCAACTCCGTTGCCTTGTCAGTTGTCGCACACAATGCATGATACGAGCCATGTTATGCTATTCGCAGCGCATGTTTCAGGTACAATAGCTGTTACTTTGTGTCAAACGCATTGCATGTCACATGATACACAAGCTGTAATGCTGAGTATCTGGATGGGTCCGATGCGGTGCAGGGAGGTCGCAAGGTGTTGGAGCCGACCAACGCCAAGAGGCCCAGCACGCTGCAATTCGTGGGAGAATGGGCCAAGGACAGAAACATGTTCGCATGGTGGGTTGCTTTATCCACGCAGGATTGCTTCTGGTGGGTGGTTGCTTGTATGGACGGTTGTGTTGCTTGTTCGCATGCTGAGTTCTGTGCTTGGAGAGTGGGCCAAGGACAGAAACATGTTCGCATGGTGGTTTGCGTGCCTGATAGTGGTTCACACACTTTCATGTTTGAAGCGTATACTTACATCTCTGGATTCATAATAGCTGTGCATACAAATCTGATGGAATCTGGAGCACATGATTTTCATTCTTTCTGTCACAAACTCTCATCATCACACCTTTCGTTTGTGTTACAGGATGCGCAGAAGGCTGGTGGACCGGCTGGAGAAAGAAAACCTGACAATGGAGAATCACAAGGTATGTTCCCTTAGTTCAGGAATCTGACCCTTTTGAATCTTTCACGAATTTACCACTGATGCTTCACCCCCCTGTGTGCGGCCCATGTGCTCGTGGCAGTACGGGTTGACTCCCGAGACGTTCAATGCCGATGAGGGTCTCTCGTCCTTCTTCAACATCCTCACCACCACTGCTGATGACGATGGCAAGGTGCGTGTGGTGCTGGTGCTGGTGTGGTGGTGACAGTGGCAAAGATGGGTGTGGATGCTGGTGCTGGTTGTGGTGGCAAGGCTGGTGTGGTGGTAATGGTGGTGGCAACCTGAATACTCCTGTTTCCCTCCTGCCCATTCTCCAGTCTGTCCTGTATTTCTCCATGCTCCCATCTATCGCTTATTACTGTCACATGGTAAACAAAAAAGGGCATTTTCTTGTTAACAATGGCCTGGCTTTCACCGCCCAATCACCATTCTTCGTTGTCCTTCCACCGCGCTCCCCTCACGTTTGTGACACTCGTTGTACCACCATAATTGAGGCCAAGTGTATGCCTTCACTTCCCATTCACCGCTCTCCGTTACCCTTCCACCGTGCTCCCATCCTCCCATCGCATGTGATCTCAACACCAGGAGTACATATCAACAGTGGAGGCCAAGAGATACCCCTTCACTGCTCTACAGTGGCACCCTGAGGTACTGTTCTGAGATCATGCACCCCCCACATGCTCCCAGAATCACTCCCACCTGGGCGCAGCTTCTGTGCCTGTGTCCCTCGCTTCCTGACATTCTTACATGTCTGTGCATGCACACACAATGACAACAACCTTACTGGCCCTGCGGCCCTCCCCCTTTCCCCCCCCTCTTTGTTTCTGATTGGATGTGCAGAAAAATGCGTACGAGTGGGGCAACCCCATCTTCCCACACTCCTCCGATGCTGTGCAGATCACACATGCTGCTGGCACATTCTTTGCCAAGTGAGCCTCGCTGCTCCTCTTCCTCTGTTGTTATTCTCAACCCTTCCCTGCCCCTCCTTGCAAAATTTCTACCCGCTGCATCTCTCCGCTGCTACTTCTGATGTTCTCGCCCCCTTCCTGCCCCTTCACTGCCTTTCCCTGCCCTTTTCCTGCCCTTTTACTGCCCTTCGCTGCCCCTCATCTGCCCGATATGTCACATCTTTCATAGTATTTTTGCTGTCCTGCCAGATGCTTGTTGCCACTGTATGCATGGAATGCTGCACTGCACACAACGCATGAAATTCACCAACATCCGCAAGCAGCCACATCCTGACATTCGCCCATATGGTGCAATACCCTGGAAGCGCACATTGACCTCTTATTCCAATCCCTCCTCCCCTTGTGAGTCCTGTAGTGAGGCCCGCAAGTCCAGCCACAAACCACGATCAAGACGAGAGCTGTACCGCTATTTGATATACAACTATGACCCCGTGTTTACCGGAAAAGAAGGGTAAGTACAGGTTGGTTGGTGGGTGGGTCGTTTTATTTTTATGCATGTTTGCGCTTATCATGGAGTGTTGAACAAGCATATACCAAGCGCTTGCCAGCCGAACGAGCATCTCACCTTGTTATCCTGCTCTTTCTTGCAGGTCGTTCCACTATGATCAAGCGTATATATTTCAGTGCAAGAATGCGAGCGACACTATGTGCTTCTTTCCCAAGGATAGACTCGGATCAGCACCCCAGAATATTGTAAATGACAAGGAAGAATCACATATAGTAGGAATTGAATCTGTATAATGTATAATACCTTAGTATGTCTTACGCCTAACTGTAGTACGAGCTGCACATTATATCTGTGCTCGCATAGCGAGATTACTGGACGACACTCACGCAGCCACATCAGCTCCACGTCGGTGCGCTTCCTTTTTCAAAAGCGTTGTCATTCTCGTGGGATATTCATGGCAATCTCAAGACAAGACACATCCATCTCCCATCCCCACCAAGCCAAGCATTTCCTCCATCTGCTGTTGAGTGGAAATTCGAAGACATCACTCGGTCATGATTCAAGTACAACCCACTGTCGCCTCTCTTTAGGATCCTTCTGTTAGACCTTTCGTCCGTTGTTATCATCGTCACTGGTAAAGCGTGTCATGGCGCTGTGCCGGCAACTCGTTGCTGTTCCGCATCCTACGCGCCACGTGGTTCTGGATCCGTCCTTAAGTTCTCGGAATTCCGGTCTTCTGTTCCTGCCGTCGCTCCCTACAGCGCTGACGGGACGATTTGTAACGAGCACAGGTGAACGGTGCTGCGTCAGGCGTAGAGCTCTTAATGTTACAGCGAAAACGTCTAAAGCGAGGAAGAATTCAGCGACGCGAACCAAGCAGCCGAAAAGGACTGAGAAACGCGTTTCCCGGACGAATGGCGAGTCATGGGATGCCACGTCAGCGGCGTCGGAGCCGGATTTTTCGTGGGCTAGTGGCACAACTGTAGCTTCCTTAGGTCGCCGTGATGATGACGTGGACGGGGAAGGGTCTGGCGTGGCAATAAGAGGCAGAACAACAAGGGGTTTACGTGTTGACACCAAGAGAGAGCTTGAAAATGCAGATACCACGCCTGTCGCCGCGACAGCCGCCGCATCAGCCGCCGTTCTTACAACGGCAGCATTTGTTAGAGAGGAAGATAACGTAGGGGTAGTGACAGACAAGCCTGCTGTTGACGTGGCGAGAGGGCGAGAAGAGGAGCAGGAGGAGGAGGAAGAGGAAGAGGAAGAGGAGTGGGATGGGGATTGGGAGGACGAGGAGGAGGGAGAAGACGAAGATGTGAGGGTAGAGTTGTGGGAGGGTGATTTACCCCCGATGACGGAGGAGGAGGAGCGGGAGCTGCTTCTAGAGGCGGAGCGCGAAATCGCGCAACTGGAGGCGGAGAAATTGGCGGGAGCTGCGCCTGCGGCGGGACGCATGGTGGACGGCGATTGGTTGCAGGAAGACGGGGAGATCGGCGCGGATGCGGGGCGGGAGATGGGCACAGGGAAAGCGGCGCGCGAGGAAGGGGCGGAGGCGGGTAAGGGCGCGGGGGAAGCGGCGGGGGGAGCGGTGGCGGACATGGAGGGGGAGATTGCGGCGCTGCGGCGGCAGCTGGCAGAGATGGAGAGGGAGCTGGCGGAAGCCAAGGCGCGGGAGAGGGCGCAAGCAGCGGTGGAAGGGCTTAGGGGACAAGGAAACCCTGAACCCCGGGGTTCTGCGCCTGAACCCTCAGGGATTGTCGTAGAGAAGGCGGAAGCAGCGGGTGTGAGAAGCGAGAGCGATTCCAGACGGGTTCGCGACGAAATAGTGGGGGGAGAGGAGGGGGAGGGAGAGGGTAAGGAGGACGACGTGGAGGAAGAGGAATTGGAGGAGGACGTCGACGATTTGTCCCATTTGAGGAGGAAAGAGCAGAGGCGGCTGCGAGAGGAGATGCGGTGGCTGGAAGGGAAGGACGAGGACGGATGGGAGGGCAACGACGTATCATCATCACCAGCATCAGACGCTGAGCGAAGAGGGTTACCAGCAGTGATGCGATGCTTCGACACGGCGAGGGTTTTCATCAAAGCGGGCGACGGCGGCGACGGAATAGTGGCGTTCCGCCGGGAGAAATTCGTCCCGGACGGCGGGCCGTCGGGCGGCAACGGCGGGCGGGGCGGCAACGTAATCATTACTGCCGACCCGGCGCTGAATTCCCTCCTGCCGTTCCGCCGGTCGGTGCATTTCAGGGCGACGCGCGGGGCGCACGGGAAGGGGAGCAACAGGCATGGCGAGGCGGGTCGGGACATAGAGATTAAAGTCCCCCCCGGGACTATTGTCCGCGAGGTGGTGGGGAGGGGGCCTGTGCGGGATTGGGGGGTGAAGAACGGTGGAGAGGAGTGGGCGGAAGGGGAGGGGGAGGCGGATGGGGCGCAGGGGGGGGGGAGGGGAGGGGGAGGGGCGCGCGCTGCTGGAGCTGGTGCGCGCGGGGCAGAGCGAGGTGCTGCTGGCGGGGGGAAGGGGCGGGCGGGGGAACGCGGCGTTCAAGACTGGGCGCACCAACGCCCCCCAGATCGCGGAGAAGGGGGAGGAAGGCCCCGAGATGTGAGTGGAATGGGGGGGGACGGGGGGAATGTGGCGAGGGAGGGGGTAAAGGGAGGCTGGAGGTGGTGGGTTGGGGAAATACGAAATGGTTGATGTGTTAAACCTCTCACACCACCCATACCCTTCCTCACACACCCCTCCTCCCGCCCACCCCTCCTCCCGCCCAACCTCTCTCACCAGCTGCAAGTGGTGGCACATGTGCGCATTGTGGCCGCACCCAACGCTCTGGATGGTTTTGTCACATCCCTTGACACCACACATACCCCTTACTCACATCCCTTGACACCACACATACCCTTACTCACACTCCCTCCTCTCCTCTCCCTCTCCTCTCCCTCTCCTCTCCCTCTTTTCTTCTCCCCAGGTGGGTGCAGCTGGAGCTGCGGGTGGTGGCGGACGTGGGCATCGTGGGAGCGCCCAACGCGGGCAAGTCAACGCTGCTCGCTGCCATCTCGGCTGCCCGCCCCAAGGTGAGACCAATCCCCTGAATGTGTGTGCTCTGATAGTTACGGATACATGCTACGAACTACCCGTTCAAGCTACATGCTAGTGTCAGGGCTGCAAGAGGCAATGTGCCACACCTCTTCCCTGCTATCTCACTGCTTTCATCTCTCCCCTTCTTTCTCCACTCCTCTCCTCTTGTCTCCCTCTTCCCTTCGCCCGCCCTCCCCCAGGTGCCCAACTATCCCTCCCCCAGGTGCCCAACTATCTCTTCACCACGCTGGTCCCAACCTGGGAGTGGTGGCGGTGCCGGGGGGATTCCACCCTCCAGCAGCCCAGGCACGTTGCCCAACCTGGGAGTGGTGGCGGTGCCGGGGGGATTCCACAGCATGGTGTTGTGTGGGCAACGTGCCTGGGCTGCTGGAAGGGTGGCTCGCCCCTTCCCCTCCCTCTCACCTCTTGCTTCCTTCTCTCCACTACTCGCGCATCCCTTCGCTCTCCTTCTTTCCAGGTGGCGAACTATCCCTTTACCACTCTCGTCCCCAACCTGGGGGTAGTTGCAGTACCAGGAGGCTTCGACAGCATGGTGTGGGCGGACGTGTCTGGACTGCTGGACGGCTGCTCGCCCCTTCTCCTCCCATCTCACCTCTCGCTCCCTCTCCTCCATCCTCGCTCATTGTTCCCCCCCAGGTGGCCAACTACCCATTCACCTGTGTTTTGAGTCGACTCAAAACACACCCAGGTGGCCAACTACCCATTCACCTGTGTTTTGAGTCGACTCAAAACACACCCAGGTGGCCAACTACCCATTCACCTGTGTTTTGAGTCGACTCAAAACACACCCAGGTGGCCAACTACCCATTCACCTGTGTTTTGAGTCGACTCAAAACACACCCAGGTGGCCAACTACCCATTCACCTGTGTTTTGAGTCGACTCAAAACACACCCAGGTGGCCAACTACCCATTCACCTGTGTTTTGAGTCGACTCAAAACACACCCAGGTGGCCAACTACCCATTCACCTGTGTTTTGAGTCGACTCAAAACACACCCAGGTGGCCAACTACCCATTCACCTGTGTTTTGAGTCGACTCAAAACACACCCAGGTGGCCAACTACCCATTCACCTGTGTTTTGAGTCGACTCAAAACACACCCAGGTGGCCAACTACCCATTCACCTGTGTTTTGAGTCGACTCAAAACACACCCAGGTGGCCAAAACACACCCAGGTGGCCAACTACCCAATCTTGGAGTGCTGGCGGTGCCAGGAGGCTCTGACAGCATGGTGTGGGCGGACGTGCCTGGGCTGCTGGAGGGTGGCTCACCGCTTGCCTCTCTCCTTTGCTCTCCTCTCCACCCACCCGTCTCCCCGTATCAACCACAGGTGGCCAACTACCCATTCACCACGCTGGTCCCCAACCTAGGCGTGGTGGCGGTGCCAGGTGGATGTGACAGCATGGTGTGGGCGGACGTGCCTGGGCTGCTGGAGGGCTGTTGCTCCGTGTCCCCTCGCTCTCACCCCTCGTATCTTTCCTCCCTCATCCCAGGTGGCCAACTACCCATTCACCACTCTGGTTCCCAACCTGGGAGTGGTGGCAGTGCCAGGCGGGTTCGACAGCATGGTGTGGGCGGACGTGCCTGGGCTGCTGGAGGGAGCGCACGTGGGGCGAGGGCTGGGCCACCAGTTCCTGAGACACACCGACCGCTGCAGAGTGCTGGTGAGCTGAGTTGCGCTGTGCATGATTCTTTGAGAGGTCTCGTCGCTGTCCCGTTTGCTGGAGGGAGCGCATGTGGGGCGAGGGCTGGGCCACCAGTTTCTGAGACACACCGACCGCTGCAGAGTGCTGGTGAGCTGAGTTGACTGGTGCTGGTGGTGGTGGCAAGTGATGGAACAGATCCATGTCTGTCATTACCACATGGACGACAGCAGTCCACAGCCGTACCTGGAGCTGCAGGCACTGATTAGAGAGCTGGCCCACATCGCGCCCTCCCTGGCTGGCTGCCAAGCCACGTGTCATCCACTTTAACAGGACGGACCTGCCAGACGCGCAGCACCAGTGCCCCTTGCACTCTCTCACGCCCTCTCCCATGCTCTCTCTCACGCTATCCCCCCTGCCATCTCCCCGTCTCCTCCTCCGTACTCCCAGATTCATGTCATTGACGGCAGCAGCCCCCAGCCTGACCTAGAGCTCCAGGCAGTCACGAGAGAACTAGACCTCTTCTCTCCTTCTCTCGCCGCCAAGCCGCGGGTGATTGTCTTCAATAAGATGGACCTGCCAGACGCGCAGCACCAGTGGGGAAGCTTCCAGGAAGCCGTGCGGGAGCTGGGGCTGGGAGGGGAGGGGGAGGAGGACGGGGCGTGGTGGGGAGGGGCGGAGGGGGAAGGGGAGGGGGGAGGAGAGGGGAGGAAGGGTCCGGTGGTGCTGAGCATGAGTGCTGTGACAGGGCAGGGCACACAGGAGGTGGTACAGGCTGCGTATGATTTGCTGAAACGCGTGCAGGGGGAGAGCGACGGATGGGGGGAGGAGGGCGAGGAGGAAGGTGAGGACTCATGGCATGAGTGCAGTGATGGTGACGGTGCACACAGGAGGTGATGGTGGTGGTGCTGAGCGTGAGTGCAGTGATGGTGACGGTGCACACAGGAGGTGATGCTGGTGGTGCTGAGCATGAGTGCTGTGACAGGGCAGGGCACACAGGAGGTGGTACAGGCTGCGTATGGGCTGCTGAAACGCGTGCAGGGGGAGAGCGACGGATGGGGGGACGAGGAGGAAGAGGAAGGTAAAAAATGGTGCAGAGTACATGTGTGGATGGTGTGTGGTGTGGTGTGCTGCTCTGCTCTAGTGCCGAGTCTTGTAATCCCCTTCTATTTCCTCCCAGCTTTCTATGGCCCCACCTACGTAGCAAGGCAGCGAATAAGTTCTTATGCTCTCCCCTCTCTCCCCTTTCTGTGTTTCGCCTTCTCTCCTCCTGTTCTCTCTCATCCCTCTCAGCCCCTAACACCACTCGCCATCGCCTGGGCTTGGCAGCAGAGGTGCAGCGAGCGAGGCGGGCGGCAGTGAACGAGTTCCGGGTGGCATTCGACGGCCACACGCGCGTGTTTGAAGTGACAGGGGAGGGCATTGAGCGATTCGTGCAGATGACCAACTGGGAGTGAGTGGGGGTGAAGGGGGGTTGGGGGGGAAACAAGGGAACGGGAGGGGAGCAGGGAAGGAGAGCATGAGTGTTGGGGAACGAAGTGAGTGAATGAGTGACCAATGCACGCGAAACCGCCGCACGCGTGTGCCTAAAGTGACAAGATCGGGGGCTTAGCTCTTTCCCATTCTCCTTCTTCCCATCATCTATCTTTCCTTGCTGCAGGTACTTCGAGGCAGTGAGGCGCTTTGCCCATGTGTTGGATGCGAGTGGCATCAATGAGGCATTGAGGGCGCGGGGCGTGCGCGAGGGGGACACGGTGGTGATTGGACAGGTGGGTTGGTTAGTTGTAGGTGGGTTGGTTGGTTGTAGGTGGGTGGGTTGGTTGTAGGTGGGTTGGTTGGTTGTAGGTGGGTTGGTTGGTTGTAGGTGGGTGGGTTGGTTGTAGGTGGGTTGGTTGGTTGTAGGTGGGTTGGTTGGTTGTATGTGGGTTGGTTGGTTGTAGGTGGGTTGGTTGGTTGTAGGTGGGTGGGTTGGTTGTAGGTGGGTTGGTTGGTTGTAGGTGGGTTGGTTGGTTGTAGGTGGGTTGGTTGGTTGTAGGTGGGTTGGTTGGTTGTAGGTGGGTGGGTTGGTTGTAGGTGGGTTGGTTGGTTGTAGGTGGGTTGGTTGGTTGTAGGTGGGTGGGTTGGTTGTAGGTGGGTTGGTTGGTTGTAGGTGGGTTGGTTGGTTGTAGGTGGGTTGGTTGGTTGTAGGTGGGTTGGTTGGTTGTAGGTGGGTTGGTTGGTTGTAGGTGGGTTGGTTGGTTGTAGGTGGGTTGGTTGGTTGTAGGTGGGTTGGTTGGTTGTAGGTGGGTTGGTTGGTTGTAGGTGGGTTGGTTGGTTGTATGTGGGTTGGTTGGTTGTAGGTGGGTTGGTTGGTTGTAGGTGGGTGGGTTGGTTGTAGGTGGGTTGGTTGGTTGTAGGTGGGTTGGTTGGTTGTAGGTGGGTTGGTTGGTTGTAGGTGGGTTGGTTGGTTGTAGGTGGGTGGGTTGGTTGTAGGTGGGTTGGTTGGTTGTAGGTGGGTTGGTTGGTTGTAGGTGGGTTGGTTGGTTGTAGGTGGGTTGGTTGGTTGTAGGTGGGTGGTTGGTTGTAGGTGGGTGGGTTGGTTGTATGTGGGTTGGTTGGTTGTAGGTGGGTTGGTTGGTTGTAGGTGGGTTGGTTGGTTGTAGGTGGGTTGGTTGGTTGTAGGTGGGTGTGTTGGTTGTATGTGGGTTGGTTGTTTGTAGGTGGGTTGGTTGGTTGTAGGTGGGTTGGTTGGTTGTAGGTGGGTTGGTTGGTTGTAGGTGGGTGGGTTGGTTGTAGGTGGGTTGGTTGGTTGTAGGTGGGTTGGTTGGTTGTAGGTGGGTGGGTTGGTTGTAGGTGGGTTGGTTGGTTGTAGGTGGGTTGGTTGGTTGTAGGTGGGTTGGTTGGTTGTAGGTGGGTTGGTTGGTTGTAGGTGGGTTGGTTGGTTGTAGGTGGGTGGGTTGGTTGTAGGTGGGTTGGTTGGTTGTAGGTGGGTTGGTTGGTTGTAGGTGGGTTGGTTGGTTGTAGGTGGGTTGGTTGGTTGTAGGTGGGTGGGTTGGTTGTATGTGGGTTGGTTGGTTGTAGGTGGGTTGGTTGGTTGTAGGTGGGTTGGTTGGTTGTAGGTGGGTTGGTTGGTTGTAGGTGGGTTGGTTGGTTGTAGGTGGGTGGGTTGGTTGTATGTGGGTTGGTTGGTTGTAGGTGGGTTGGTTGGTTGTAGGTGGGTTGGTTGGTTGTAGGTGGGTTGGCTGGTTGTAGGTGGGTTGGTTGGTTGTAGGTGGGTGGGTTGGTTGTAGGTGGGTGGGTTGGTTGTAGGTGGGTTGGTTGGTTGTAGGTGGGTTGGTTGGTTGTAGGTGGGTGGGTTGGTTGTAGGTGGGTTGGTTGGTTGTAGGTGGGTTGGTTGGTTGTAGGTGGGTGGGTTGGTTGTATGTGGGTTGGTTGGTTGTAGGTGGGTTGGTTGGTTGTAGGTGGGTTGGTTGGTTGTAGGTGGGTTGGTTGGTTGTAGGTGGGTGGGTTGGTTGTAGGTGGGTTGGTTGGTTGTAGGTGGGTGGGTTGGTTGTAGGTGGGTTGGTTGGTTGTAGGTGGGTTGGTTGGTTGTAGGTGGGTGGGTTGGTTGTAGGTGGGTTGGTTGGTTGTAGGTGGGTTGGTTGGTTGTAGGTGGGTTGGTTGGTTGTAGGTGGGTTGGTTGGTTGTAGGTGGGTTGGTTGGTTGTAGGTGGGTTGGTTGGTTGTAGGTGGGTTGGTTGGTTGTAGGTGGGTTGGTTGGTTGTAGGTGGGTTGGTTGGTTGTAGGTGGGTTGGTTGGTTGTAGGTGGGTGGGTTGGTTGTATGTGGGTTGGTTGGTTGTAGGTGGGTTGGTTGATTGTAGGTGGGTTGGTTGGTTGTAGGTGGGTTGGTTGGTTGTAGGTGGGTTGGTTGGTTGTAGGTGGGTTGGTTGGTTGTAGGTGGGTTGGTTGGTTGTAGGTGGGTGGGTTGGTTGTAGGTGGGTTGGTTGGTTGTAGGTGGGTGGGTTGGTTGTAGGTGGGTTGGTTGGTTGTAGGTGGGTTGGTTGGTTGTAGGTGGGTGGGTTGGTTGTATGTGGGTTGGTTGGTTGTAGGTGGGTGGGTTGGTTGTAGGTGGGTTGGTTGGTTGTAGGTGGGTTGGTTGGTTGTAGGTGGGTGGGTTGGTTGTAGGTGGGTTGGTTGGTTGTAGGTGGGTTGGTTGGTTGTATGTGGGTTGGTTGGTTGTAGGTGGGTGGGTTGGTTGTAGGTGGGTTGGTTGGTTGTAGGTGGGTTGGTTGGTTGTAGGTGGGTTGGTTGGTTGTAGGTGGGTTGGTTGGTTGTAGGTGGGTGGGTTGGTTGTAGGTGGGTTGGTTGGTTGTAGGTGGGTTGGTTGGTTGTAGGTGGGTTGGTTGGTTGTAGGTGGGTGGGTTGGTTGTATGTGGGTTGGTTGGTTGTAGGTGGGTTGGTTGGTTGTAGGTGGGTTGGTTGGTTGTAGGTGGGTTGGCTGGTTGTAGGTGGGTTGGTTGGTTGTAGGTGGGTGGGTTGGTTGTAGGTGGGTTGGTTGGTTGTAGGTGGGTTGGTTGGTTGTAGGTGGGTTGGTTGGTTGTAGGTGGGTTGGTTGGTTGTAGGTGGGTTGGTTGGTTGTAGGTGGGTTGGTTGGTTGTAGGTGGGTTGGTTGGTTGTAGGTGGGTTGGTTGGTTGTAGGTGGGTTGGTTGGTTGTAGGTGGGTTGGTTGGTTGTAGGTGGGTGGGTTGGTTGTATGTGGGTTGGTTGGTTGTAGGTGGGTTGGTTGGTTCTAGGTGGGTGGGTTGGTTGTAGGTGGGTTGGTTGGTTGTAGGTGGGTTGGTTGGTTGTAGGTGGGTTGGTTGGTTGTAGGTGGGTTGGTTGGTTGTAGGTGGGTGGGTTGGTTGTAGGTGGGTTGGTTGGTTGTAGGTGGGTTGGTTGGTTGTAGGTGGGTTGGTTGGTTGTAGGTGGGTTGGTTGGTTGTAGGTGGGTGGGTTGGTTGTATGTGGGTTGGTTGGTTGTAGGTGGGTGGGTTGGTTGTAGGTGGGTTGGTTGGTTGTAGGTGGGTTGGTTGGTTGTAGGTGGGTGGGTTGGTTGTAGGTGGGTTGGTTGGTTGTAGGTGGGTTGGTTGGTTGTATGTGGGTTGGTTGGTTGTAGGTGGGTGGGTTGGTTGTAGGTGGGTTGGTTGGTTGTAGGTGGGTTGGTTGGTTGTAGGTGGGTTGGTTGGTTGTAGGTGGGTTGGTTGGTTGTAGGTGGGTGGGTTGGTTGTAGGTGGGTTGGTTGGTTGTAGGTGGGTTGGTTGGTTGTAGGTGGGTTGGTTGGTTGTAGGTGGGTGGGTTGGTTGTATGTGGGTTGGTTGGTTGTAGGTGGGTTGGTTGGTTGTAGGTGGGTTGGTTGGTTGTAGGTGGGTTGGCTGGTTGTAGGTGGGTTGGTTGGTTGTAGGTGGGTTGGTTGGTTGTAGGTGGGCTGGTTGGTTGTAGGTGGGTTGGTTGGTTGTAGGTGGGTTGGTTGGTTGTAGGTGGGTTGGTTGGTTGTAGGTGGGTTGGTTGGTTGTAGGTGGGTTGGTTGGTTGTAGGTGGGTTGGTTGGTTGTAGGTGGGTGGGTTGGTTGTAGGTGGGTTGGTTGGTTGTAGGTGGGTGGGTTGGTTGTATGTGGGTTGGTTGGTTGTAGGTGGGTTGGTTGGTTGTAGGTGGGTTGGTTGGTTGTAGGTGGGTTGGCTGGTTGTAGGTGGGTTGGTTGGTTGTAGGTGGGTTGGTTGGTTGTAGGTGGGCTGGTTGGTTGTAGGTGGGTTGGTTGGTTGTAGGTGGGTTGGTTGGTTGTAGGTGGGTTGGTTGGTTGTAGGTGGGTTGGTTGGTTGTAGGTGGGTTGGTTGGTTGTAGGTGGGTTGGTTGGTTGTAGGTGGGTGGGTTGGTTGTAGGTGGGTTGGTTGGTTGTAGGTGGGTGGGTTGGTTGTATGTGGGTTGGTTGGTTGTAGGTGGGTTGGTTGGTTGTAGGTGGGTTGGTTGGTTGTAGGTGGGTGGGTTGGTTGTAGGTGGGTTGGTTGGTTGTAGGTGGGTGGGTTGGTTGTAGGTGGGTTGGTTGGTTGTAGGTGGGTTGGTTGGTTGTAGGTGGGTTGGTTGGTTGTAGGTGGGTTGGTTGGTTGTAGGTGGGTTGGTTGGTTGTAGGTGGGTTGGTTGGTTGTAGGTGGGTTGGTTGGTTGTAGGTGGATAGCTTGTGGAGTGGGGTGAGGCAGTGCGGCGCTTTCCCCACGTGTTAGAGGCAAGTGGCATTAACGAGGCACTGAGCGCGCGGGGCGTGCGGGAGGGGGACACGGTGGTCATTGGCCAGGTGGGTTCACACCTGCGGTACAATGCGGTATGCTGTGGTGGACATCGGCCAGGTTGGGCTCATTTGTAGGTGACCCACCACTAGTGATGGTGGGTGTTGTTAATCGAGCAGGTGACTTGGGCACTATTCACAAAGAGGCATAGGGCCTGGGGCGTGATGGCTAGTAGGTACAAGG